GTTAGACATTTAGTGTAGAGGTTACAAATAAATGTGCCATGTTTCACTTCAGTGTAAATTACTGAGATGGCAATGAGACAACTCTATTGTCATAGGGTGGAGGGCTTCAAGATAATACATCAAAGACTGCTGTGAATCCTTAGGGTGCCCAGTACTTCTCCGAACCTTAGTTTGATCCAAATGTAGATATCCTCATCTTCCACTGCTATCAAGCATGGTGGGGTAAATATGTCCTTTGCAGCATATTGGCCTCAGGGAGTTAAGGGACAGGTACAGCTGGAGTAGGAAGATCGTAATAGCTTTGAAGGTAGAAATTTCAGTTACAAAAGAAATTCAATAAAAGAAATATTTGAGATTATTTCTGTGACTTAGCAGGAGAGCTTCCTGTTTGCTCAATTATCCTCAGTCAGTCATCATCCCAGTATGTTTGCCCCCTTTTTTTTTTTTTTTTGGTCAAGAAAATGGAACAAGTGAGATAAGACCTCTATTTGATTTTTCTTTTCTTGAGGGAGGCAGAGTGATCTATTTGGGATATTATGCCATTTTTAGCTAGTAATCTTAGTGTTTGTACGCACAGCTTTGCTTGCATGCTATTTATGCATTTTGAACCATATTTTTAATGCTGTGGTCAGATCTATGAAGGAATGTCCACTGTCCTAGGCAGGAGTAATCAGATCAGAAATAGGATAGATATGAGCCAAAAAAACTGCAATTTCAAGGGGTAAAGTAAGCAAACATGCAGAAACCCTACAAAAATCTGAAAACTTTAACTGACTCTCTGCACCAACACACCAGTTAACTCTCTGTGTTAGTGTCCTTATCTTGGTATTCACGATGATATTGCAGAATTTATTTGATCAGTGTCTCTGGAGAGATGATGAGTGACATAAAAGTTTTTCATTCTAGCCAAGCCTTTGATACAATATATTTAATCATAAATTTTTAACGTGATTGGGATCTGCAACCTTGTATTCAACATATTTGTATGTGGGGCTTTTGCAGGCAGCGTCACTGACAGTGGATTCCTGCTCTGATGATCAGGAGCCAGGCTATTGCACTGTTAGCAATGTGGCTGTTTCTACTGACTGGTAAATAATTCTTCTTCATCATCTTTTCTGTAAAGCAAAAAGTAAAATGACCCCCAAGGCTCTAGAATCAGAGAAAATTAGAATCATGATTACATGCACTTAGCTCAGTCCTGAGCAAGGGATAGATACATAAGCTTTAGTTCTGCAAGAGGCGTTTGAAGGTGTCATTTCCTCATATCTTCTTTGAAAAGCAAGTTTAATTCTCTACATGTCCTGCCAAGTCAGACTGCATTCTCATAGTGCAAAAGGCAAGGATTTTATTCAGAAATCCTTGATTCCCAAATCCCTCCCTGTCCCCAGCTCAGGGGGAACGTAAGAAATGTACACTTGCATGTGGGTGCAAATGCGGCTAGGAGAGAACAACTTAGACACTGACCTTAGCTGATGCTTACAGCTCCCTTTTTGTTATTGCTGTCTTATGTCTGATATTAATTAACTGATTTTTCTGCCTCTCTTACAGGTCTCTCGATGTGCAACCAAATCGAGTTACCGTCGGTGGCATCAGATCACTAGAGCCAATCCTTCACAGGAGAGGACAGGTGGAAAGCCATGATTTTGTGGGCTGTATAATGGAGTTTGCAGTCAACGGACGTCCCCTGGAGCCCAGCCAGGCTTTGGCAGCTCAAGGAATCTTAGATCAGTATGTCTGCTATATATGGTATCGAATGGACAGCGTTTACAATAAAGGAAACTGGCAGGAAAGCTAGGTGCTGTTCAGTTCAGGCACGCTCAGATATATCTTACAAAAAAAATGAGTGTAGAATTTATCCTAGAAGGTGAAGAATTTAGGAAGAAACTGAATTTGGGTGAGAGGTTCACTAAAGATTTTAAAGACTTAAAAAAAGCAGTGTCATTATATTTCTCTTGAAATTTGTTATTAATCTTGCTGTACAGGCTGAAACAGAGTAGCCCTGTTATTCGGTTTCTTTATAAATTCCACCTGGATTTGACTGTACTCATATGTTTCACTAAACTTTAATTCCCTCTTATTTCCTTTTAATCCTCAATGCCTGGTCTATCACTTTGCCTCTCAAGTATCACTGCATTTCCCTCATGTCCTCCAAGTGGTCTTTCCGAAATGATTTATTAGCTGAGTCTATTTTTTTCCATCTCAGTATTTGAAGTCACAGTTGTAGCAATAATGTCAGTCTGACATCCAAATTTGCTAGCTCACCCTTCCTCTTTCTACTCCAAGTTTGCCTAGTTCTATATAAGGGGTCTCTTGAGGTCTAAAAGATTTATTTCTTCTCTTGCATGAAAAATAGAAGTTTCCCCATCTCTGAATTCTTTTCTCTTTTGAAAAACCATTACAACTTAACACTGAAAATCAGTATTTGTGTAGAAACACAAGTGGTCTGATAGGAAAGGCCCTTCAATTTTCACACCTCTTTGGGGAAGAGGAGGGCTGTTGCTTGCATGCGTGACCCTTTCCAGTACATTTGCTTTGTTTATTTCTATGCGCGTTCCTCAGGATCTCGTTTTCTGGTTTGTTTTAGGTGCCCAAGATTAGAAGGCGCTTGTACGACCAGCCCTTGTCAACATGGTGGTACCTGTGTTGATCATTGGTCATGGCAGCAGTGTCATTGCAAAGATGGACTGACGGGAAAGCACTGTGAAAAATGTATGGAGAGGGTTTCACTAGCTTTCTCTTCACTGTATACCTAACTCAGTATGGTGTCACCAAGCGCAGTTAGATTTTCTGTTCAAGTGCACAGCATAATGATTTTTATAAAGTAATGAAAGCCTGCAGCATGCTTGCATATTAAATATTTGCCAAGGAAAAGTCCATGGTGGACTGCTGTCCCTACTTGAGTTAAAAGTAACAGCATGTCCATATGCCATGTCTTCCTGCATATATATTACACTTCATATAACTTGTATTCTTTTAGAGTTACTGCTTCCTGGTAATATATAACCAAAATAAGTCTATCCCATAGCAGGAGTTAGTCTGCTGTGTGGAGATAGGAGGGAAAACCTCTTAGGATAATTAATTTTTTAGGGTTAAATTTACGCTTGTGTAAAAATTGTGTTCATGTGCTTATGAATTGTAAGCTTACCTTTCTTTTTGCTTTTTGCTTTTTTTTGCCTTTTTTTTCTCGAAAAAGGACCATCAGATTATATGCATGAAAATGTGGTAAATTTAAGCATATGAATAGCTCTATAAAGCAATACAAGATTGCCTAGGAGAGCAAGGTGATTTATTTACATGTAGCATAGTGACTGCTCTTTAAAAGCCATTTAATTATGTTCAAGTAATAGGTTTTGTTTTCTTACATTTTCCGTTATCGTTTTGGTGATTTATATGCTTTTATTGTCCTTATTTACAACAGAATTTTGCCATTATTTCAACAGCATTTGGTAGCCAATGCTTTGCCATTGTTTTATTCTTTCTGTGCCAAACCGAAGGTCTGCTGGTATAACAAATAGTCATTATCTCTGCCCTGAAGAGCTTACAGTTCAATATATCATGAAACTCTCCTTGCAGTAATGGAAATAGTAACATCTCTGGGAAGGAATTATAGTTTTGAGAGCCAAATTTTTTCCCCTACTCCCTCACTTGTTCCCTAGTGAGTTTTAATTTACTATTGACTGATACCAGCAGTAAATTATTAGCACACTCCCACTCTCAGACATGTATTCTGGTTCAAGCCAAAGAGGAAAGGGGGCGAAGTTGTCAGTCAGTCCTGCGCTCCCCACTGACCTGCTCTGAACTTGATCTCTTCTCTGAAAAAAAAAAAGTTATTACTAGGCAGATAGTCCCTATAGCTACTATAGTTAAAAGGCACTGTGCACTTAGTCCTTTTCCCATCTTTGTCCCAGATATTACTGCTGACACTGCCTTATCACTAGAAGGCAAGGGGCGACTTGACTACCACATGAGCCCAAATAAGAAGCGAGAGTACATGATGAGACATGGTACGAGAGGTGCCAGCCTGGGAGCCCTGAGCGTGGACCGCTTGGAAGTGAAATTCAGGACCAGAAGTGAGAATGGGATTTTAATTCACATCCAGGAAAGCAGCAACTTCACTACTGTGAAGGTAAGATCATAGCTAATGCTAAGCTTGGTTTGACTGGACAGCCTTGCGTGGAGTGATCAAAATCGCATTTTTCCATTACCCTTGCTGTTTCCTTTATAAAATATTAGGCCTTAACTAAGGCTAGGCACTGCTCCAGTATCATTCGTCTTCTCAACAATTCCCTTGCTATTTGCCAAGGTATCAGTAGATCTTGATGGTTTTGTATCTAATCAGTTTTGTCTCGGCTCCAAATAGTGACTGTTTTAAGGCAGCAGGAACACTCCTCATTGCCATACTTCTTATCGCCGTTTAGTTACACTCTGCAGAGCAAATCATTTAATTATTGGACTTTATCTTTTGGTTTTTCAGGCCAGAACTCAGACCCTCCTCAAGCTAACAAACACGTGCCAAAATGGTTTCGTTGGTTCCTACTAATATGGCTCATTCTTATCAAATTAGGAAGTAAGAAATAACTTGAATTCGCGAAGTTATTTGTAGACTGATGTCAATATTGTATAATTTTGTAATATGCAGCAAAATTAATGCTTCAAATGCCCCATAGTTGTTTTTCCCAAGAGTTTATTGCTGCAGAAGTTACCTTTTTCAAGAGAAAGCGATGGTTCAGTTCCAGGCCATGATTCAGCCCACTTACTCATAACTCTAAATGAGTACAGCAGTGCTGTTGGCAAGCCCCTTTATTGGGTAGGTGTAAGCTCCAAGTTCCCTTGGCTGCTCTAAGGCTTTCCAAGTTTTTTTTTCCTCAACTGCTAAAGAAACTCATACAGAAATTCACACTTTCTAAGCTTCAGCCCCATTGATATTGCCCACTTGCCTGATTCCTGTCCTGGTCAGAGGTACGTTGCTTTCCACACACACTGCTGTATTTAAGAAACCAGCCTGCATTACTTCATTGGCATAAACTTTTATCACATCACGGGATAGGAAGGTTCTGTCTGCTCATCATGTCATCTGATAACATCTCATTGTGTTGAGTTCTGGAGAAAAAACATAATACCATTTTCTCACTAGTAAAATTTGTTCCACAAGTCTTATTTAAAAAAAAAAAAAAGTTGATTTTCATGGCTGAAACCACTAGTGGTGTGTTTATGTAAATAAACTTTCGTTGTTATTATTGGTGAATTTATACAGGCAGGTCAAGAGCATCAAGGCCCAGACCTAGCTATAAGGACAAACTACTAAGTTAGCCTGGTAATCTCTGTAGCACTTTGAGGAAGAGGAGGTGACTTCACAGAACCAATCACTGCTGAAATTTCCCATTGATATTAGTAACAAAACCAAAGGTCTGTGTGACCACAGCAATTGTGGTGTTTTATTCCCAGTTAGCCAGTCTCTTATGGGAATTTTCAGAGCAGTTTCCTGCAGCTGCAGCATTACCAGTACCCATTTCTCTGAAAACGTAAAAGTAAATTTAGACCCTGAGCTTCAGCCTTTGGACCTCCAGTTTCCATAGGCTAGAGTGAAGTGGAGGCATGCTGACTCTGGGGCCACGGATGGAGAGCCCTTGGGTTGCATCCCATCCCATTGCAAGGCTGGGATGCTCCTGGAGCACCTTTGGCCCCTGCATAGGAGCAGCTTGTTATTAAAAATGTGCCTTTCCAGTGAAAGCCTGCATGTGGACTTAATACTAAACTGTGCAAGAGAAACGCTACAGGTGCCGGGACTACCTACCTTCCTTCTTTTTCCTTCTGTAGTTAACTGATTCTGGTATACCTGGAATTGGGTTAATTTTAGAGCAGCATTAATAAATTAGACATATTGATGATTCATTAAATAGTAAATGTAACCCTTTCTTCCCAGCCAAGAACCACCAAGGCCAGAGGAATGAGTTTTATATAAAGAGTTTCTTAATCCAGCAAAGATCCAAGAAATGGAAGAATTAATTAGAGAGTGAACAAATTCATATGATAAATGACAAAAAAGAGTGTAGGGGATTCCTTATTAATAAAGCTCTTTGAGCTCTTTAAGTCGCAGCTGATTTTCATAAAAATAATACTTTGCAACTAATACTGGCAGAAGTAGTGAGATAAATACATCCTTTTAAAGGTAAATTTGTTTGCTTTGCATTAACCGAGGATCACATCTGGAATCAGATTACATTATCATAATTGTAGCTGTAAGATCTATGAATCTGATGGCTAGGGAACGTGGATGACCCGTTATCCAAATATGCCAACATAGATACGTATCATGCTGCAGGAATGAATTGGAACACGATTCGTTTGAAGGGTAACTTAACCAATGCACTATAAATATGTAAAGGCTAGTGCATGTATTTCAGAGAAAAACAAGAAGCAATTTGTTCAGTAAAGGAAACTCAGGTTATCAGTAAAGTCAAATCATCTTTATATTTGGGAATATATTTGGTTTTGCTTTAGTATTTCATTCTTTTCCTTAAATCCTACCTGTCAGTTTCTCTGTCATTTAAATAAAACCTAGAAGTGGGTCTTATGCAGCATTATCAGTATCAGCCATTGGTTTCAACGACTTGTGAAACAACTTGTGTTTCCAGGAACCAAGAAAAATCATTCCTTTTTTTTTTTTCTGATTGAAGAAGCCATAAAACAGTCTTCTTCTCTGAAACTATTATTTCTTCAATATGTTTTCCTAGATATCCTAAGTATATACTTTTTGAATCTGTTAGCATTAGCCATGTGTAATTTTAAAGAAACCGAACTAGTGCTTAAGAGTCCTAAATGAGTATGGAATCTGATCAGTTATTGGATCAGATGAATAAGCATACAGTTCTTCTATAGTGTAGAATTATAACTTTAATCTTTCTGAAGGCCTAGTGTATATTGTTTGGTATGGTGTATTTATAGTATGTCTAATAGAGTATAATTATTCTCTTGCTTACATAAAAGACCAAAAATAAAGATGTCGTTTTCATGAAGCACGAAAGGCAAAATGACACCAACAAAGCAATTAAAACATTTAAATAATAAATATTCTGTCCAGTTGCACTTTTTACAAATACTTCTGATTCTGTAAATGGTGTTTGATTTGTTACGATGGAGCCTGTGCAGCTGCATGTCCAAATATGGGATTTTCTGTGTGCTGTGCGATATTTCAGACGCGTGCCACCTGTGTTGGCCAATACCAGAGGCATCCTATCTTTTAGAGGGAGCCTCATAAGGACTTTCCCAATGATACTTTTCAAATGCATCTGAATTATGGCCTTTAAAAACAAAGCATATGTGTATCTTAACCATCATGTTCCTTGCTCCAAGTGGAGTTCAGACTAGACACATCCAGTGCAGGCTGCTGCCAAGACATGAACAGAGTCGTCTTAGAGCTGGTCTGTATGACCAAGAGTCCTCAGCTTCCAGCACTCAAGAAGTAAATCTAGAGCATTTTGTTTCTGGCAACTAGAGAAGAATTCTTGTAGCCCTTGTGTCTCCTTGCAGTTTTTCCCAGGTAAAGATTCTTCTTGGAACAAAATACGTGAGACTTAAAGAGCTTTCAACAAGCCTGTGGCTTTACTTTCCTAGAATATTAACATATCCCCTCCACGTGCTTGTGCACAGCTCACAGACATGATCAAGCTACAGATAAAGACAGAGAGCTAAAAACAGTGATTTTTTAGTATGTATGATCATGCAGGCAGAGTACGAGAGATGAGTATGGGAGGAAATATGCAGTAAGTTGAAGAACCACCCTATGAACTCTACTGTACTTTTACTTTTGCCCCCTGCATATGGCTCACAAGTCTGTACAACCATTGAGAAGCCAGCTAACACCGCAGACTCTTATGCAGTGCTGGAGAACCTTGCTTTCCTTTTTTTTAATTATATTTTGCTAGTATATTTTTCACTTCTTTATCTTAAATGTAGAATTTTCACTAATGGGTTCCTTTAATTCTGAGCCAATGAGAGGTTTAGAATCCTGCGTCCAATGAATCAGTAGAAATCTGTGGCTTCATTTATAGAGGAAAAATCTTTTTCATAGAATTTAATAGTATATTTTTTCTAACAGTTTGCAAGTTGGGCCCTTTTTTTGTACAAAATAACTGATGCTT